CCGCCGCCCCCATGGGACGGGGGTCGCCCGGCAGCCCCGGCTCCCGCTGCGGCGAGGGGCTCCACGGCTCGGCCCCTCCGTGGGGCAGAGGGATGCACAGTTTTACATGACTCTAGCTCAGGTGCGATAGGAAACGCCCTGGAGACAGATGAGTCAGCTGGGTTACAAGGAGCTAAACTCTCCTCATCATGTGCCTGGCTCCAGATTAGGGGTAGGTCATGCCTCCAGGGCAAGTTTGGCACCCTGACGTCTTCCCACCCAGACAAGGGCATTCGGCCTGCAAAATCCCTCCCTCTGCCTTTTTCCCTGGCTGCAGCCTGCAGGACGTCTTCGCGCTGCTCTGCAAGGCCCTGTGGCTCCAGCCCAGAGCAGGGACAGAGTTTGCCACTGTCACGGCTCAAATGCACTGTTTCTCAGCATGCTTTGGGACCTTTTGGGGAGATATCATCCTCCTAACAGAAGCAGCCTCAGTGGTCTCTCAAACTTTCAGCGAGTTTTTTTTCTTTCCTCTGTGTAGCTTGACTCCAAATTGATGCCCGTTAAACCCACCTCACTGTGGCAGCCAGAAGCCCACATTTCCAGCGCTATAAAAATAAACTTCATTGGAAAATTACACGATGGAAAATAATGCTATTTTTGGTTGGCCTATTAGACTAAGATTTTGTAATTTTTCAGATAAAGGTGCCTGCTTTTCCTGTTACATGTTCATCTGCATGCAGCGTGATATACCCCTAAAAGGGATTTATCTGTCACAGATACCCAAGTAATGCGATTATGGGCAGATTATCTCTTTTCTCCTCTCAGCTGCAAGTTCTATGGTTAGATGAAGCTAAAAATCTAACTTTCTGGAACGCCTTTAATCCAACTGAGCGCTCAGGATGTGCTCGGAGGCACAGGGGCTGAGAGGCAAGCTGCTTGCACAGCCTGGCGAGACGCCGGGCCGGCAGAGCGGGCAGCAGCCCAGAGGGAGCCCGCCGCCTCGGGCGCGGGAAAAGGGCTTTGAGGGCAGCAGCGCAGCACGCGCAGACACGCAGCTCCCTCCGGCCCTGGCACACCCTGGGCGAGGAGAGGCAACTGTGACCCAGGAAAGAAACCCAGGAGGGACATCAGGAATTCCAGAGACAGAAAGCAGGCCAGGAAATACAAGCTGCTGCCAGAGCCGGGGAAGAGGCTGCTCGAGGTTCCCCTGTACCGCTTGCTCTCGGGAGCGCAGGCTCAGCCCTGGGTTGCTTGTGCCCACACGTCTGTGCCAAGCAAAAGCACAAGGCTGTTCCATCCCATCACAGGGCTTGCCCGTGTGGCTGGACAACTGAACTGCCAAAGCCTGGCTTTGCTGTGTCCAGGATCCTCTCACGAGAGCAATCTCCCCCCACGCTAAGCTTTAAACCCCACTGAAAGGCCCTGCTGGCCCAGCTGCTCAGCAAATGCTGAAATCGGAGCCCTCCTACAGCAGCATCTCCCTGGCCTCCCCCAGCACCCCAGCTCCAGCAAACAGCACAAGTCCCCTTGGGGCCAACCTTTTCTAGGTCCCAGCTCCCTCCGCGGCCCAGTTTCTGCTGGCTGGGGGAGCTGGGCGCCAAGTGGAAGCAGCTGTGGCCCTCCTGGGGCGAGAGTTAACCACATCCTTGCCAAAGCAGAGAGGGACATGAGGGAGATGGTGCGAGGGGCTACCCATCCGCTGGGGAGGTTGGGAGCGCAGCGGTGTTCCCTGCAGGTACCCGGCCAAACGTCTTCGGAGGGGTTGCTGTTTGTTTTGCAATGCTGGCCCCGTTGTTATGGGGTGGAGGCTGGATCATGAGCTGAGGATGACATTTTAGTGCCTCTGGCAAAGGTTTCTGCTATCTTGGTCAGAATCAGTGCCCAATGGTCTCTGTTGACCCTGCTGATCTCTGTTACTGTCCGTTAGAGAAGGTTATTGGGACCAGTAGACTCAGGTATTAAAAACCTAGCAGGTTTCTGGAGCCTCTTAGATCCTGGGTATCATTTGCAACCAGGATTTCCAAGGACGAAAGGAAACGTGCCTCCTGCTGATACAAGACAATGTGCATGAGAGGTGACAATTAGATCAACTGAGTAAGAGCTGATCCCTTCAGCCTTGAGGTCTGTTTGGCTTGCCGGAGGGGTTTAATGTAGGCCTTGCATGGTTTTGAGCCTTTCAGATGTCCTTTCCTACAGAGACTTCTGCAATCCCCCATCCTTCCAAAAGAGCCGTGCAGGTGCCAGCCTCCCCTGTCAGGATTTAAGGAAATGACACATAGGTCTCAGCCATGGTGTTACGAGACTCTTGCAGATACGGAGCATATAGCCTCAATTTTTTAGCGTCACTCTTTCTGGGTTAGTTTATCCAGTCCTTCCTTGCGTGAGTAGTATTTGCCCACATGAGTTTTCAAACCGAAGTCATTTGAGATTATTGTTTATTTAAAGGCTTGCTCACCTGAAGAAACGTTGTGCAGGCTAGTGCTCCATGCCTGACGGAGAGGGCTTTACAGCAAAGGGGGTTGTAAAGCCCCTCATAGCCTCTGCTCAGGGCTGCGTTGAGTTCTTTGAGGACTATAATACAAACGCCTGCCTAATAAATCAGCAGCTCACCCTGAGCCCTGATACCTCAGCTTTAACTCTGCACCAGTTATTTCTTTGGCCATGCCATTGAGACCCAAAGCATCTGCAAATCTCAAAAGAATTTTGGCTCTGCTCTGTGACAGTGGCAGCAGGGTTTCCATTTAGTCTGAAGGTGTCCCTGGAGACAGATCTTTCGTCTCACCCTGGCAAACGGGGAGTTTTTATGTACTCAAGTGAGGCATGTGATTTAAGACATTCTGAGCACCCACCACTCCTTATGCAAGTAGCTAGTGACCAGGCCTCTACTGCACAGTCTGACTGCAGCTGCCCAGTTCTTCAGAAAATGAGGTCGTTCACTGGAAATTCAGTTAACAAATGTTGATTGGAGGCCTAGTTCTCACTACCTTCCTTCCTGTGTCCTTTCCCAAGCAGACACATCTCCCTCAGAAGCAGCCAACCTCAACACTACCAACAGCATCGGGGTGAGCGCGCTGTGTGCCATCTGCGGGGACCGTGCCACGGGGAAGCATTATGGGGCTTCCAGCTGTGACGGCTGCAAAGGCTTTTTCAGGAGGAGTGTCCGGAAGAACCACATGTACTCCTGCAGGTAAGGACGGATGGGGCTGAGTTGTGTGTCGGGGACCAAATGGTCCCCAGGAGCTGAATGGAGAACTCCTCAGGGTGCAGCAGCATGGCTCTTCATCCTCTCCCTGTCTCTTCTACCACCTTGTCCTAACCTCACCCTCCAGCTGGGAAGGGCCAGAGACAACTCTCACTCCTGGATTGCCCTCACGCGGTCACTGGGAAAAGGCCCCAGGTGGTCTTGCCCCATTCCTTAGGGGCCAAGCACATGTTCTTTGCAAATTGATGGTGAATATCACCAACAAGAAAGGCAGTGGTGGCGGGGAAGTCCTATTACAGGGCCTGAGAATGTTTCTACTCTGTGCTCTGAGTCCAGTGCAAACCCGACTCCCTCCCCAGGGGCAGCATGGTGGCCCCCTATCCCTTCTCTGTCACAAGATGGAAGTATGTTTGCCATCTACCTAAAATGATGTCACTGCCTGTTACATGATGAAAGAACATCTAAAGATGCAACAGGTTGGGTGACGTGGAGTGCACATGTCTGCATATCTCGTTCCAGGATGAGACATGCGTGTTGCACCCCCAACAGAAACACTGCAGTTTGTGTCACCATGGCTCTCTGGTGCCGTAAGCGGCTGTGATGTGCCATCACTGCTTCTGAGGAACCAGGACTTCTTGATTTGCAGTGAAAATCAAGGAGTCCTTAGATACTGAGTGTCTAAATCACTTAGGCGTTTTCACTTAGGCTTTTTGAATGATTTGCTGCAGGTGTTCTGACAGCCACTTGGAGAGTGTGAACAGCAACATGACTCCAAAATCTGAGTGACAGAAAGAAGCCCCAGATCTATGAGTGCACGTGAAGCGCATTAGTGCTTGCAACCCAGAGTTATTTAGACTGGCTGCCCAGGGAGCCCCCTCCCCACAGTCCAGTGGGAAAAGCCAAGGTTCCCAGTTCTTTGGACACTGGGCCAAAGTTTAGAACTTTATATAAGTTCTAAACAAACACTTAAACAGCTGCTTTTGGGCATCCATTTTGGGAAATCTTAGCTTGGGGCTTTAAAAAGAACAATAGAAACAAGCCTTTTCAAAAGCTACCCAAGTCCGCATGGCTGGGTGCCCTTCCCCTTCACAGCAGCCCGGGCTCTGTGTCGTCTTTAGTTCCCAAGCCTGATCAATCAGCAGTAAATTAGAGCAGGATCACATCAATTTGCAAGTGAAATCCATGCTGCAAACAGCTACCAGGCTTTTGGTACGTGCAAGAGCCACATACAGGGGAGATCTGTGTTTACTCCCCAGGTTTGCTGGATTTAGTGACAGAACCGTGGAGGAAGAAGGTGGTTACATCCCATCTCCTCTCTGAAGTGCAGTGGCTGAGAAGCTATTTGCACTGCAGTGATGCTGTCCGGGTCGGAAGCAACCTGTCTGGATCCTAGACACAGCTCTTGAGAGGCTCGGGGACTTAAAACCACTTCTTATCCTTATTAGCTCCAGAACATAGCGTATTTTTAATACAGAATAAATATTAGCTCCAGAACATAGCATATTTTTTCTATAGAATAAATACATTCTTCCTCCACTCTAACTGGGGCCTAACTTCCAGTAGAGGTTAAGAAGGTGACTCTGAACCCCTGGCATGCACTTTTAACTTCACTGGGATTTGTTCCTCCATCTTGAGCATCCTGTGTGCCTAGTGGATGGTGCACCAGACAAGCAGCCTGAGCTCCTGCATGTTACCTTCAGCTCTAGCCTGTCCTCATTGTACATCCAGGGGTAAGTCAGGGGAGATTTTCAGTGCCAACTAGGAGGTTTAGCTAGAGTTTCCACTGGCAATAACAGGAACGGTTCATTTAGATCCCCAGGAGTTCCTGCAACCATCCCGTTTCAGGCGTTATTCTGTTAGTCATGGGGCACTGCAAGCAAAGGAGGACACTCAGATTAAAGTAAGTGTGGAAATGACACTGACTGGGGCTCCTTTCTAGGGCTGAGCCTCTGGGAATCTGCTCTAAGCATGTCTTGGAGCGTGGGACTCTGAACTGTCCTGTCTTTAGGCTCGGTCTTGCTGCTGCTCACACTTCTGTTTCTTCCCAGGTTTAACAGGCAGTGTGTGGTAGACAAAGACAAAAGAAACCAGTGCAAAAAAATGAAGAAGGAAGGTGGGTCACGGCGTGGCTTCCCTGTACTGCTTCTTCAGCAGCAGTCACGCTGGCCGTATGTTTGAGGATGCCTGTGCAGCCGAAGGCTGGTCCCTGCTATTTCGTGGAGATGCTTGCTCAGCCAGCTGAGCTGCACCTTCCTTCCACAGAGCTCTCAAGTGCAAAGATCAAGATCACCCTTCAGAGGAGGCTTTAGGGGGAGGTTTGGTCCATAGGCATGAACCCTGCATGTACCTCACCTGCCCAGCTCCTATCTGTACAAAGACCTCACAAGCAGCCATCGTACTAACAGCTGATTAAGCCTCCGGGCAAGGCACAGGGGTCCTGTGTGCCCCCAAAGTCAGAGTTCCCTGGGGCTCCTGGTCTTTGCTGTCCATACAGTCAGCGCATCCAATTTCAGGGCTCCTTCTCAGGGCGTCCAACAAAATGCCAGCAAAGACATACCCATGGAAGAGCCACAGAGGCGTTCTTGTGTCCCAGACCTGCCCATTTTTGTACCTACAGATCACACCTATGGCTGCACTCATGCTCTTTAGCTCACTTGCCCTCACACTGGCTCACACATTACCTGTGCTCCCATGTAGCCAGGCCATGTGAGCCATTTGGGAATAGTTCGCAAAATCAGCGAGAAGCAGAAACTTCAGAGATGGTCTGGGCAATTTGGAAACTCTTTGGAAGAACTGCTGTAATTGCTGGTGCCCCACAGTCACTGCGAAATCTGCACCTAGACAGGAGAGTCCAGCAAAGGGTCCAACTGTCATTTTGCTTCCTTTTTTTCTAATGTGTATATAAGCTCTTTCTGGCCCTCTGTAGAGAGCTTAGCTTTATCCAATACAGTGCATGGCAGAAAGGACCCAGAGCAAAGTGGAGCATTTTGGCTATTTAAGCCCAAGTGGATATACCCACCTTCCTAAGTTCACCCCAAAAACTTCCACACGACTCTGCCTCTGCAGTCTTTCCAGGTCCTCGTGACCTAGACATGACGGGCTAGGACTCAGCCCCGGTTCAGCCCCACTCAGCACTCCAGAGCACTCACGGTGCTGAGGAAACCTTGGGCTACCGGTGGCTTTGCTGATGGGGGGGATCGAGGCCCTTCCAGGAGCAGCCCCGAGGAGCCGCCCGTGCACCTCACAGACACTCGTCCCCACCAGCGTCGGCAAAGGGACGCCAGGGAGGTGTTTGGCCCTATTGTTTGATGCTGAGAAAGTAAGCCCCACGCCCCCCCCCCAGTTCGCACCCTCTCGAGGAGAAACTCAGGAGAAAAGGGATCCTTCAAGACAAGAGGGAAGTACCACCCCACACCTTGGCTGCTTTAACTGACCCATTGGCCTGTGAGAACACCTCTGACGAGGAACATTCCCCCCCTTTTAAAGGGGACGAGCTTTTGCAAGGAACTTGGCTTGACTTTTCCTGAAGAACGTAGGAATCCTCCTCTCTCTGCCGAGCCCGCTCATCCTATGCCCAGCACTTTGCTGCTGTCTGTTAATATTCAATAGAAGTTACATTAGGTGCATGACCAGCTAATACTGAGCAAACATTTGGAAAACATCATGGCGTGACTGAACTCGGGGGCCTGCTACTGATAACAAGCGGCATAACCTTGAGAGCTCCTATTTACAGCCGCTGACTGCAGAGCTTTTCTTCTGGCCCAGCCTCATTATTGCTTTTTATCAGGTGGATTTATACATTGAGAACGTATCAATTCAGAGAGCCACCAGCCTCTCAGCCACAGGCTGAGACTGTTCTGTTTCCCCTGCCCCCCTTATTTGAGCAGATGGCTTTGGGTGACTGGTTTGCCCGCGGAGAGTTATGGCTAGCCCACAGCCTCATGGCAGATAGACAGGAATCCTCCTCCTGCTTCTGCTTTGGTTCCTGCCACCTCTTAGACTCAAAGCCCAGTCCCTTCTCAAGAATAAACCAAGTAAGCAAGCATGCTGGGCTCATACCTGTTCTAGGACTTTACTTTAGGATAAAGTATGAGAAAGCTCATTTCCTCTGGATAGAAATGTAGCATCTGTTTTGCGTTTCCTTCCTCATTCTAGCTTAAAGAAAAGTTTTCACACTGCCCCTACCCTCCTCTGGGTGCACGGGAAGCAAGAGCTTCCCAAATACAGCTCACAAAAGTCATGTGGACAGACAAAATAGGCATGCAGATATTTGACTGCTTGCTTTCACACATAGCTCGGGTGGTAAGCATAGCCACAATTTCAGAGATTCCCTTAAGAAACTGCAATCAAAAATCCTAGAGCCAGATCCTTTGAAATGAAATTTTCCCATTGATCTCTACAGGCTTTGAAGCAAGTGCTTGGATTCTGAAATAACTCAGTCTCAGGAAAACCTAATAAAGTGAATGTGAAACCAGAGCTACTAAATGTAGTCAGGTCTCTCAGGCATCACATCAGAAACTAGGCACAGCTGCACCTTTGCCTTGCCAGGCTGGGGAACCGTCAAATTGCAGCTAAGTGATCCAAGGCGCTGTGAAAGGGAACGCCAAAAGAGTGCGATGGGTTTTGGTGTGTATTTCCACGAATGAGCTGCTACTGAGCCAAAATACTCTCTTGCAGCTGTACAAAATGAACGGGACCGAATCAGCACCCGAAGATCAAGTTATGAAGACAGCAGCTTGCCTTCCATCAACGTCTTGCTGCAGGCAGAAGTCCTGGCACAACAGGTACCTCTTCTTTCCTTTTTGGCAAATACAAAAGCATCAGGAACGTGTGGCCAGTAAGGCCAGGTGAGCATTTAGTAGCTGAGTCTTCAAATCACCACTTCTTTTCTAAGCAACTTGTCTGCCAGCTCAACACTTGTTTTTTCAAAGGCATTTGCTACCTGAAACCATTCCTTTAGCGCTCCTTGGTCTGGAACCGAGTTGTAAGCAGTGCAGTACTGTCAGCTGCTTTGATGGGACACTTGAAGGCTAGAGTGCCTGCTGGTATAAAATGGGGTAGAATCACTGAAATCCAAGGAGCTGCATCTGTTTATGCTAGCCAAGGGGCTGGCCTTGCATGAGTGGTCTCTGTTCCCCGCTGGCTGTTAGTAACTTGGATTCTGGCTTCCTGCAGTTTCATGAGGAATCAGCTTGATGCTTGCATTACACAAATGTTCGTTCTGGTGTTTGCTTAAAATTCGCTGTTTCCACAAACACAAAGCCAGGAAACTCATTTCCTAGAATGTTCACTTGAAAAGAGTCTCCATTTTAAGAATCTGAATATTGCAAACAGTATATGTTAAATCAGCATTGTCTGGGAAGAATGGAGAGGGCAGACTCCAAAAAGGGGGAACCCTGAGACTTCTCTCCTGGTCTGTCTGTTCAGAGAGGAGTTCACACAGTGTCCTCTCTTGCCAGGCAGCCTGAATCCAAAATGTGGCCGATATCAATCGCATTGTGCAGACGTGTACTTAGTTCAAGTCATTATTAGTGCTGTGCAAGAAAGGTCCTCATTCAAAGCCAGGCATCTGTCAGAGCCCTCTCCATCCTGCCACCCTACTGCTTCAGTTTCCCTTCATCTCTTCTGATAAGTGCGATTATAAATTATTCCACCCTGCTCCTTATTTCTGGACTGATCTTCCCAGCCTCACAAGCCAGATCATTTCCCTCACCTCCTTCCAAATCCTCCTCCTGAGAACTCGTGGCTGCCCGCAGTGTAGGAGAGAGGTGAGGGGAAACACACAACAGAGGGAAGGGCACATCCAGTTGAGGTGTGGATCAGCTGAAAGGGTGAGCAGGGCTGACTGGGGGAGACCTGAGGTTGCTCAGGGTGATGGAGGAGCTCAACCTGTGACCATGAGACCATATCGCTGCCCCCTCATCCCTCCATCTCCCTTTTTGGGGGTGACATCCCTGCAGATCAGGCTGTATTCCCGTGTCAGGGCCATGTGTCTCAAGATCTGCTAGTTTTGAAGTGCCCAGGTGGAGACAGTGGATTGATTTCTTAGAGGGTCCAAACTTGTTGAAAAGAAATGGAGAGGCTCCCCAAATCATCTGGGTGGGTTAGGCAGCTGCCAGAGGCAGCACAGCAGGGACCCCATGTTGTCACTGCCAGCCTCCGTCTCTGCTCAGAGGGCAGCACCAGCCACCACTACCACCCTCTGCGTAAGCAGCGGCAACGGGGTCTTCAAATTCCTGCTCAAAAAAGAAGCGATTTAGGGCAGCCCAGAGAGACGAGTGCAGCCAAGGCAGTCGGCAGGGAGGGAGCTGGCACTGGAAATTCCCCAGAAAAAGCAGGGATTGCTCAGGGTTTATGGTAAGCCTCCAAAACCGGAGTGCACGAGTGATGTGGGCTGCAGGACGTGGAGGGTTTCCTAAGGGTGCAGGAAGTCTGGAGCTAGAACAGGACAGGAGAGCACATGCCGATGGCAGATTTCTGTGGAAGAACAATGATGAAGCGGGAGGCAGGAGCTGCCATCCTTCGCGGGAGCCAGGAAGAGGAGCACTTCTTGTTCTAGTAAAAACAAAAGCGGGTTCAAGTTGGTATTCTATGTTCTTCCTTGCTTCAGGAGTCACGTTTCCCTGGAGATGCTCTGGGACAGGATGTGCTGGTGCTCTGGGCTCCATGCTAGGGCCCAGAGTCAGGCTTTAAGGTTCAGTTCGTTGAGGAAGGGACGTGCCAGGCCCCTGTGGGTGCCCAGAAGGCAAAGGGCCAAGCCTTTATGCCGGCAGTGTATCCTGTCTCATCCCGTGCCTCACCTTGTCCTGCACAGGTCCTAATGTATTTGTAAACATTCTAAAAATAGTAACGGTGCTGTTCCCGGTGAGGTGAGATAATGGGGTTTCAAGTCACCAGATCTACGAGGGAAGGACATTTCCGGGACTCTGAGTCCTGCAGTGGCATCATACGAAAGTCTTGAGGAGGGTCTGCTGATAAAAACCACAGCCATCAACAAATCCAGGGAAGCTGTTGCTCTGCCGCAGAGAACAGACCGACTCATCAAACAGGGCAGGCTCCAGCACGCTAATTGGTAACTTTTATGTGCCTGGCTAATTAGAACAAGATACTGCTGAGGAGTTGCCTTCTCCAAGATCTCAGGTCACTCACTCAGAGGTCTTTATTTATTTGCTAAGCTTTCCGGGCTCTCTGATTAGGGTAATACGTGGTGAGATTTTTACAATCTTATTTATTCAATAATAGCTCCAGAGCTGGAAAACTTCCAAGTAATGCAACCTGGAAAAAAATGCAAGTGGCATTTGAACACCGTTTCCTATGGGAGGCTGGCACGGTCCGAGCTGAAAGTGCTGGCAGGAACAGGCCAGGAAGAGCTGATGTTGTTCAAGAGGAGAGAGGGCAGGTGGAGGGCAGTGATGGGGTTGAGTTAATTGCTCACAGAAGCATGAGGATAAAGTAGTGACTAAGGGCAAATTTTCACATGAGCTGGATGAACAGCTATGCCCGAGAACTAGGTGTGAAGTTGGGTGCCTGGTTTTGGGGGGATGTTTGTTTCAGCTCATGTGACCATTGACTTGCGATACCTGCAGAGCTGTCAGACTTATCCCTTGCAAATGAAATGGCCCCATTGGCCTCTGCAATTATAAATATCCTTCATGCTAAAGAAGTGACCTATCTTGCTGAGGGCATGTTTGCACATGTGCAGCTTTGCAAAAAGGACCTAAATGTTGGGGTTTTTTTCTTATTAAAGTTTTTCTTTGGCATTTCAAAGTGGGGAATGTCAAATATTAATGACCTGGTGCTAATCGCACAGAGGCCAAGCTCAGACCTGGAGAACTATCTTCAGCAGAGACTTCTCACACTCCTACTAACTGAGACAGGAGGAGAAACAGAGCCTGCATGTCTCATGTCAAAAGCAGAGCAAGGCAGTTCTGGTGGAGCACCGACTCCAGAAAGGGGAGGAGATCTCTGCCCTGTTGTGTGACCTACTGGACTGGACACGTCCTTGCAAGTAGAGAGAGTCGGACAGCAAAAGGGAAAGCCTAACTGCCTTCCCCCTTTGTTATATGAGCCCCTTTGTTCCCTGTTAGATCTTAAATGAGCATATTCTTTCAGTGGGAATTCATCTTGGCTTTAGACATATTTCTCCTGTGCTTGCTAGACTATTCAAGGCACAATATCTTACCTAGATGATCCACAGTCTCAGGTCTGAAGCGTTTCGTATTTACAGATCCCTGAGCTGATCTCAATTTGAAATGAGCTGTGCTGGGCCACATATTTCGGGGGCTGGATATGCAGCAGTAAAAAGTAATTGTCTCAGTGCTGGAGTCAGCATCACCACACATCCCATGGGCCTTCCCCAGCCTGGGGATTTTCCTGCTCACGTTGTCTCTGTGGCTCTGACCTGAAGGGTCTCTTCCCTCCCTGCAGATATCATCCCCAGTTCCTGTGATCAACGGAGACATCCGAGGGAAGAAGATTGCCAACATCTCGGATGTGTGCGAGTCCATGAAGCAGCAGCTGCTCGTGCTGGTGGAGTGGGCCAAATACATCCCTGCCTTCTGCGAGCTGCCCCTGGACGACCAGGCGAGTCCTCTCGATCTGTCCTCCTCCCTCTTCCCCAGCAAAGGCGGCAGGGAGCCAAACGAGAGCGAAACAGCTGACAGCTTCAAAGAAAATGGGCATTGTTCGCTCTGTTATCGTGACTGCCGGAGCTGATTGGGGAATGGCATGCACACAATGACAGCACAGGCCACTTGCCTGTGCAGTCAGTTAATGAGCACAGCCATGATAACAGTAAGCTCGAATTAGATACATAATCAGGTGTGCATTTTGCATGGATCTATTAGTCAATTACTTGTTGACTTATTGCAGTTTGTGCAGCACTTTGAAAACCTGAAGTACTATACAAATGCTTTGACTTACTAGGAAAAATTACTTAGCGCAAGGTCTGCTCAAGACTTAAAAACAAATCTGCTTGTCTATATTTCTTTCTGGTTCACGCCTGGGGATATATTTGTATCCATTCTCCTGGTGTGGAATTAATTGAAGGTAAAAACTATTTTACTGACATTTATAGTTGAAGATCCCAAGGCAATATGAAAATCTCACTGCAGAGTTAAAAAATAGAAATATATTTGCATTTAAAACAAATTACTAAAATGATATTTGCTCATTCTTCCACCAAGTTCAGCACTGTGGGTTTGAATTCCCCTATAAAATGGTACTGTGGGATCTCAGGAAGCCTCAAGAGATACAAGGAGTTGTCTCCTGTTTAAGTCTTAAGTTGCAGAGGTCTGCAGCAGATATTGTGGGACATGGCGTGTGCGCAGGCTTGAGCAGCGCTTGTGGTGGTAGGGTGGCTCCCAAGGGCCAGGGCAAGCAGGTCAGTTCTGACAGCGACCAGCACAGTACCTGTCACGGGTAGGTAATAACTGCTACTTGGTCACAAAAACGGATTGGGATCTCTTCAGCTAGGATCAGCCTCCAGTCCTGTTGACCTAGAGATAAGTTTTGCATCATGAAGAAAAATGATCTATGTAGCAAGTGAGAGCATCCAGCTGATCAACTCCCCCCTCCCAAATCCTAACGCTGAGAACTTGAATAGCCATCCTGCAGCACAGAGCCCTGGGGAATTCAGTGTTTTTTAGCATCCCCAAGGAGCGCTTTTCTCTCTTTTCTAATGTGTGCACGTGTTAATTTCTTTACAATTATAAGCAGTTTGCTAAACTCCTGAGACAAATTCAACTCAAAAATTATGGAAAACAAAATGGAGTCCAATGGCACATTATATTAATTATATTTACCCAGCCAACAGGCCGCAGCCCAGAAAAGGAAGAGAGGCAGTAAAGCTGGTTAATAAGTCCAGTAAACCCCGGCAATTTGCATCTGAGTTCATTTTACAATTGTGGTGATGAAAATTTTTAGAAAGAATAAAACAAAACCTAAGGAAGAGATTGTTTGAACCCTGCATTCCCACAGGGTAGAGGCCACTCACAGCTTGCTCCAAGGCTCTTCTCCACTGAACAGGGCTTCTGCTGGGAGTAACCATCCCCCGTGATGAGCAGCTCCCAAGCTGTCCCAAAGGGTTTGAGAGGAAAGACTGTGCTGCATTAAAACTATGTAATTAATAGCATACATGCTCTCGAAGGACAGCGTGTGAGAACAGAGCCAGCAGATACTCAGGGGAGTGCAGGAAGGAGGACAGAAGTGCCAGGAAGCAGGAACGAACAGAAATACGTGCAAGCCAGTTGCCCAAGGGGCATGAGAGCTGGTCAAGACATGTCCAGTGGGAACATTTAATGTTGGGAAACACTGTTACATTGCCATTAAAATGTTGCCTGAGAATGAATCATCTCTGCCAAGGTTTTAAAGGAAAGGTCATATTCAACACCTTGTTTTTCCTCTGCACCTAAATGTCAAAGTACTTGCTTTGGTGGGGCAAAGCCATTTCATTTCAAGGTTAAAGATCTACTTTGTCCTGTTACAACTTTTGTATTTATTCTAGTTCACAATAGAATGATGCATCTGAGGTTAATCACTGAAAGAACGAATATCAAATGAATAGTTTTGCTTTGTTAAAGTAATGTATTTCAACCCCTCTCAAACAAGTGAATTTTATGGAAACAAAAATGGTGAATCCAAACTGGGCTTTTCCTGAATTTGCATTAAGCAGGAAATCTCTGCACGAGAGCTTTGCTTTCCCTTGGAAGCTCCAGTTTTTCCAGCCTTCTCACATCTTTGGCAGATGGGAAAGCTCAGTTTTGTGCAGCTTTGGTAATTGTGAGCAGCCTCAGTTAACACATCCACCCATGTTTGCGTAGTGATAGAGAGAGGGAGATTTTGGCATACAGATAAAGGTTCCCCAACATCATGTGCGCATAGTCTCTTTGCAAGGACCTCCGCTCTGTTTATTTTGCATAGCTCTTTTACACTGTCTGAAAAAAAATCTCTCTCAGATATCAGCATCTTTTCTAATCAGCTCTTTTCCACAGATGATGCGTTCTCCTGACGGTTCTGGCAGAGTAGGAATTTTCTTGTCTTTGTCTGATGCTGAGAGATAACGCACTGGAAAATGGGACCATTCCCATCAGGACGCACTTTTCAGAATCTTTCCATTAATGTTTAATGATTGTTTTCTTCAGCACAGGTTCCTGGCTGGACATTAAGAAGCCTCCATGTCAGGCTGTCCAATTGTTAACTTCTGTTTCTGCCTAAATCTTTGAAATTTTTAACCGAAGGAGGGCAAAAGATTCAGAACATTCTCAGGAACCACTGAGGGGTGTAAAATGAAACACTTCAATCATTAACATCAGGGCAGAAAAACATCCTTCTGGCTTCCCTGGCCCGAACGTCCATTGCCACTAGTGAGAAGGTGACCTCACCTGCCAGTGGGGCGTGGGTCCCCATAAGACTCATCTCAGTGGGAGATGAGCACTGCCGGGAGGTACAGACACCATCCTCCTTGCTCCTGTGAGATAAAGTGAAAGCTGTAGTGCTTGCTCACACAGATGTCTCAGAGAGGCTCATTCCTTGACCTCCAGTCCTGGGCCATTTAACACAGCGCCGGGGTGCGTGGCAGCGCCTTTAGGTAGCTCTTAGAGAGGGACAAGATGCACATAGGCCAGGTTAGAGCCCCGTAGGTCTGATATCTACTGGTTCTGCTGAATCTAGAGTTGTTTTTGCACAGGAATAAACCATTTTTTGGCCTCTTCCTCTGACTTCAGGCGTATAACTGGAGAGGTGATCTCACCCCACAATCCTGAGTGCTGTACAGGAGTGTTGGGATTTCTCTCCCGTTTACATGAAATTGCAGCCTTCTCTCTGTCTCTTTGCTGCCATCACACAAATAACTTGTCCCTGCCCTTGCAGGTGGCACTGCTGCGAGCACACGCGGGGGAACATCTGTTACTGGGAGCTGCCAAGAGGTCCATGGTGTTCAAGGATGTCTTGCTGCTAGGTAAAGAGTGCACTTGTGTTCTCCCCTACTCTGCTTCTACTAAGCATCCCTTCCAGGGGCTGGAGGAGAGGGTGGTTCAGTGCCTGTGGGCATCCTTTTTGCAGGATAGTTGCTTGAGCTTCTGTGTTTTAAAAAGCCTAGCACCACCTTAGTGTGTAGCTAGGCTTGTCTCACTTCACATTAAGGTCACAGCATGCTGCTCTGGCAAAGGTGGAGGACTATGAACATTCGTGCTGCTGTGCCGGGTTTGTGTAACCAGGCCATGCTATAGTTGAGAAAGAGGCTTTTGCTCCTCAGTCAGCTTTTTCTCACTTGAGTGACTCCTGTCAACCTTGTGATTGAATAAAGGGATGCTGTTCTGGCAACACAGATCAGCATTTCTGGTGGGCAGTGCTAAGGAATGGGCAGAAGTGAGAACTTCCTGGGACCCAGCCAGTATCCGCACCCCAAAATCATCTCAACATTGGTTTTCTGGGTTTAGAAAGTTTTGAAGCCCTTGCCACCCTTGGTAAGTCTTGGGCAATGACAGGGTGATGGTCTCTGTACTGCTTATTTAAAGGAAATGACCACATCATCCCACGGAACTGCCCTGAACTGGTGGAGGTGAGCCGCGTGGCCATCCGCATCCTGGACGAGCTGGTCCTTCCGTTCCAGGAACTGCAGATAGATGATAATGAGTATGCCTGCTTGAAAGCCATCATCTTCTTCGACCCAGGTATGCTCCAGCTTGCAGCAGGTGACGATCACCATTAAAGGGGACTAGTCTGGGTGATACTGACTGGTGCTGAGTTATGGAAATGCTGCCGGGTCTCCTCTCTGGGCCAAACTGTTCTTAGATAGACGGGAGAAGTCAGCCTAAAGAGGAAAAATATCTGTAGCAACAGATAGAGAATCAGAGACAGCATACCTCAGCCTGAACCTAGAGCTCATGCTATTACTGAAGGATAGTTCCTAGGAAAGCAGCCTGGACAGTTTGTTCTATGGATTGTTTCAGATGCCAAAGGACTGAGCGACCCGTCCAAGATCAAGCGGATGCGGTACCAGGTGCAGGTCAGCCTGGAGGACTACATCAATGACCGGCAGTACGACTCACGGGGCCGCTTCGGGGAGCTGCTGCTGCTACTGCCCGTGCTGCAGAGCATCACCTGGCAGATGATAGAGCAGATCCAGTTTGTCAAGCTCTTTGGGATGGCTAAGATAGACAACCTGCTGCAGGAGATGCTGCTGGGAGGTGAGTACTTGAGGGTCCTGCAAGAGGCTTCTTAGCGCTCCCCAATCACCATCCCCTTAGGACCCTCCCAGACTGTGTGCAGGTCATCCCTGACTCACATGAAACCATCTCCCTGCCATTTGCACAGTGATAAGAAAGGGTGCTCCCTTTCTATCCATACCAAACAGCGGTGCATCTATTTATGGAGAGGCATCCCCCGCCCTCAGCGTGTAGATGAGTTTTGCTGTGCAACTCCCAAATGCCTACCATTTCACTAACCCTCCTCTGTGTCAGGAGGGAGCCATCAGAATAAAAGGGCTTGAAAGGTTTGGTTGAAAGAATGCCCAGATTTTCTACTGGGAGCATCCAGTGGGACAAAACAAAATGAGAAGTTGCCACTGTGCTATTCTTTATGTGATGTGACCCAGGAGGAGAGGAACATAATTCTCTGTAAGAGGAAATACAGGCAGCAGGCAGGGCAACTGAGCCCAAGATATCCATGGAAGATGGGAAGGGTGTGCTCCAATCACAAGCATACAAGCAGTTCATGCACAATTACTGGAGAGGCTTTGACATTTTGGCGTAGTGGATCTCTGCCCTCTGCACTGTCTCCTTCTGCCATCATAGCAATGTTATATGCATGGTTTTAGGATCATCAAGTGAAACGCCGCATGCTCACCACCCTCTGCACCCTCATCTGATGCAGGAGAACCTGGGAACAAATGTCATTGTGGCCAACACAATGCCTCCTCAGATGCACAACGGACAGATGTGTGAGTATCACCAGAGTAACTGGTAGCGCCTGGGAGAAACTGTGAGCCTTCCAGTGTGCCTGTGAAGGTAGTTTCTACCTTACAAGGAAAGTTCCATGAAAGACAGTCTCTGATAATGAGTGTGTGAGAAATTGCTGTGCAGAAAGGATGGAAAGACAAAAAGAGAAGTGGGTCAGATCAGATTAGGCAAGATTAACTGGTTCAACAAGATGTTCCCTGGCAGACTGCAACTGTTGCATAGCCCTAAATTTAGGAACTAACGGTCCCATCCAGCACCTACTGGAACCAGTGGAAAGGCTCCCCTTCCCCTGAATGGTTCAGACATATCTCATTTTGCCCTCTGCAAAAACACTGGAGAATCAGAGCCATGACGTGGGGCCACCACCTGGGAATTTGGGGGTGAGACAACCCCAGCTGACCAAACAAATGGCCAGAGCAGGTCAAAAGGCCTGGAGCTCCCCTCATCTTTTGTTCCTTATTTTGGGCTCTTGTAGGGCACCTAACTGGGAGGACTGTGTGTGGGCTTGTGGGTTAGGGCTGCCTTGCAGCAAATATACAAGCCATCAGAAGCCATGGTTTTGCTGCAGAGCCTTTGTCTTGCTTACACCTGAACCTCACATGAGTGAGGAGTAAATCCCAGTGCTGTCAAGTTCATGCTGCCCTTCCAATTTTGTTTATCTCTCTGTAGCTACTCCAGAGACTCCACAGCCGTCTCCACCTGCGGGCTCAGGGCCAGAGCAATACAAGCTACTGCCTGGAGCCATTGCAACTGTGGCAAAACAGCCCACCTCCATCCCACAACCCACCATCACCAAACAGGAGGTCATCTAGCAATCTGCAGACCAGCTGGCCTCTTTCAGAAGACCAAGCGGGAGAAAAGCCTGAACTGTCTCTGTCACTGTGAAAAGAGAATCATCAAGAGGTCCTGGGGCACAGACACACGGACTTGCTTATTGGAATAGACCACCACCACCAAAAGCTGTCTTTCTCCAGCTATGGACAGCACGTGCCATGGGCAGCCCCAAGTCACAGAACCAAGGTTGAAGCCTTACTGAAATCTTCATTCCTTATAAGAAGGGCCAGATTTCTGCCTCCCTCAGCAGGGAGCTGCAGTAGCCAGATGGGACAGTACAGTTGGCTGTCTCTTTACTGCCACCTCCCAGCTTTGGTTCAGCACGTACAGACCCTGAGAACAAGCGATTCCCTAAACGAGGACCCTGCACTGCAGGATGGGGTGGGGTTCCTTCCCATAGCTATGCCAGTTCCCCAGATAGTCTTCAGTCCAGCCAAATTTCACAAAGCTGGAAACTCCCTGGGAGGCATCACTGCAGGTGAAGCACGCTGGGGTTTGCCCAGGTAGTACTGACAGTATCGCTCCTCAGCCTCAGCTCACGACCCGGATCTTTGCACGGTGTCACCCTCCAGCAGTGGTCTCACAGCCAGGTCCAACATATCTTATAGCTGATACTGGGGCAAAGTCTGGCCCACTAGGATTCTTCATTATTTGGATCCTTCTGCCTTTTGAGGGGTTTTGTTATTCCTGTACATGACTGCCCTCCCGGCACAGAGCTCAGAGGAGGCAACCACTGCCAGATCCTTCCCTTACACTGCCACTGCCTACATGCTGCCCGGACTGGAAATTGAGGGGACTGAGATTCACGAGATTTCAACTAACAGGATGGGGTCACCCCCACCCAGGCTGCCTGTAGGCAGCACTGCCCAAAATATCACTGGCCCCTCTATTGCTTCTCACATTCATCCACAAAGGAAGATCTTTTGATGCCTGTTAGGAAGGGAGTCCAGGGAAAGGGTGCATGAAGGAGAGAAGTCTTTGAGGGTGAGAGGAGTCCAAACCTCACAGACTGCCCAAAGGTCTCGGGCTACTCAAACGCTGGGAGTGTTGTGACCTAGGATTTCGTTTCAGACCCAGCTTTAATGCTAGCACATGCCATATAATCTACCTTGTCCAGGCCAGTGCCACTCCCTCTACTTAGAGTGAATGGCTGATACAGATTTATAGGGCTTTGTAGTTTGATAAGAATTCATTATGACCCCTTCAGACCTCAGAGGGTTTGAGGGCAATAACCTCAAACCATAAAGCTTCGAGTCCTACTGTGAAGAACTACAGAGGCGCTGTCTCGCATGAACCCTTGGGTCTGCACCCGCCATGGCTCCCCATTTCTCTTTGCCTGCATGTTTCTTTGCTCACTGAAGCCTGTCAGTGCTGAAACCCTGCAGACTCCACGTTTGCTTTATGCTGAAGTCAGCAAAGGAGCCCACCCCATGCCCAGTGTTTGCCTCTCCAGGAGACGGTAGGGCTGGAGCTGACAGAGCCCTGCCTGACTTCAGGCCACAGGGAGGTCCCTGTGTCCTCAAGTGCTGCCCGATTCATTTTTGGCAGCAGTATGGTAGAGGTGCCAAGAAAACTTGGAACAAGTTTTTACGAGGAAAGACAGACAGCAGATGCATGATATCTGTGCCTTGGAAAATCCAGCAAGAAGGAAAATAGCCCTTCAATTTCTCGCTCCATCAGAACTTAAAGCATTTTATTCTGGGGCAACAGCAACTCTAAGTAACCCTAGACTATGTTTCTGTGGGGTCCTGGCCTTGTAGGAAGATAAAGTTTGTGGAATCACAACTGCCAAAAGGTCTGGGAGAAGTCCCTGGCAGGGATAAATCTAAGCTAGTCTGACCAGAAGAGCTATGGATCTGTCCCTTGATTTCCAATGCAAAAATGAAACACCTGGCCCTGTGCTGATGGTGTCAAAAGTATTGTATTTTTTCTCAAAGCTGGTGGCATTATACTGAGTAATTTATTGCAATGATGTATCCAATCATTTTCTGTAAATTATTTTGTAAATCACATTGATTATTTATAATCAGGAAATTAAATGCAAAAAAAAAAAAAAAAGAAGAAGAAGTAATAACCAGGCTGTCTTTTCCAACTGCAGCAACCTTTTTTCTTATATGTAGAGATACTTTGTGGGGAATGCTTTCTGGTCCATTTGCACCAAGCATTCCTCCATGCTGTACATTAATTTTTGCTGGTTACTGCCTTGCAATGGAAACAGAGGAATATTTCTTCACTAGCGTTTGTATTCATTAAAAAAAAAGAAATAAATGCAAAAATATTTTCTAACTTTTCCCAGGCAGATGGATTTCTTTCTTCTGGAAGGATTTATTTTAAATCAAGGGGCTCACCTCACTGTTGGTCTGAGCACAAAGCATATGTGTATTGAGGAGAAAGCCCAAACAAGTGTTTGATGCTGTTGCCAGCTGTCACTATTTCATGGCAAGCTTAATGTCAGTTGGTGTCTGTCCTGAAGCCATATGTGCTGGAATCATAAGACTGAATGACAATCCTGATTGATTTTCATTTAAGAAAAATAAACAAGAAGAATAAATGTTTATTTTCATGATTCCAGAGAGCTTAAAGACTTGTAACCACACTCTGAAAGCCAGGTAACGGAAGCCAAAATGTGCTATTAGCATTTTTAACCCATTCATTTTTAAGTTGCTCTTTTATTTTAAAGGTCATTTCTGAGCATTTTGGGGTGATGATTCTCCTTTGGTTCACGCTCAGTCAACCTACTGCTGACAGCAGGTGCAGCCAACGGGGCACAATGAGATGATAAGGAGAAAGTCAATTTGTCACCAGTTGTAAAGGTGAAGAAATACATCGACAATTAGCCAATGACCTGCTCCACTGATCACAGGAGCCTGCTCTAAGCTGTAGCATGCCCAGGAAGATAATGGGGCGAGGGGAGAGACGTCTAGATTTCTGTAAAGATTAAGTATCTGGCAAAGATTAATACAGAGTATTTTCAATTCTGATACGCAGGAGACTCCTCTTATGTGCACCCACTCCCCACCCCAATGTGAAGTGAGTCGGGCAATCCCATCCTAGTTACAAGGGTTTGGGAAGCAGCCAGATTTTCTACCCTGCTACTGGCATCATGAGCCTCCTTGCACAACCAGTGACAGTCATGCTCGTGAAAACTGTCCACAGGTAGGAGACGCAGGTATGAGGTTCAGAGCTGTGTTTGAGGGCTGTGTGGAGACAGCACTTAAAGTTTGTCTCCGTCCCGGGGTCAGGACCCAGAAGAATAGGATAGACCACATTTAATATACCTTCACTACTTGGAGACCTTCCCTAGCTGAACATCCAGAGCCTCAACGCCACAGCTGAATTCCAGACCAAGGTCAGCAAGGGCAGTTGCAGGACATGCATTATCTCAGCGCAAACAGAGAGACTTAGTGGTTAGTTCTGTCAGAAGAAGGAAAAGGAATTAGTGCCTTGCCTCTGATAATGTGAAATAAACCCCAGGACTCCCTATGCCTGCCCCAAGGACCCTGTAATCCATGGCTGATTTTACCTAGGTATATGCCCTAATAACTGCACATATGCAATATCAAATCTTTGAAGCAATAAATTCTTCTGGATTCCTTCCCACGAACTGCTCTATCAGGTTTACCCTTTACCTGGTTAATCTTAAATCAGTGCAGTTCCTATAGGAGTTTTCTCATTGCTGGATTCAGCTCACTTGGAAAAAAACCTACAGATTGCCCAGGAGACAACCCTGTCCTTAAATGGTGTCCTCAATCACAACGCTCTCCACTTCTGTCACTCCAGCCCAGAATCACCCTGAGACGCTGGTCTTGCCAAGCGTGGGCTGTGTTTTGCCCTATTGGGCTCCCTGGAGTCCGCAGGCAATATCCTCACAGGAGATGGCTGCTGTAAGGACAGCCAGCGTTGGCCCTTGAGACACAACCTGCTTACACTATTTTTGGATAGGAGATTTTTTTACTGTCCTCTTCTATGCTTGCTATCTAGATTAAGGACATTTCTTGGCGAGCAATATATCCAGCTGCAAGATCTTTTCATGACGTCCAAACAAAGATCTGTGAAAGTGGCATTTTTAGGTACTCTGGCTACGATGAAATGCATTCTTTTTATATTCCTTATATAACTCTGATATGAAATAGCCAGCAGGCTTTGGAACCTCCTTTTCCAGAGCTTTCATATCTCAGTGGAAAAAAAAAAAAAAAACAGAATGGCAAACGCGTTTTATGGCCTGTATATCATCTCTGAGAAAAGCAACTATTGCTGCTATTAAACTTGCAAGTACACACACAGGCACAGATAGTCATGAAAAACAAGAGGCAGCAGGGACAAGCTCAGCAACGTGGCACTGCTGAGCCAGGCAGTTCTGGGTGCCAGGTTGTCCACTTTCTTCAAGGCTGAGTGCAAATATCACCAAACAATTTGGGAATCCACGCCATGCACGGCATGGTCCCTTTCCATCTAGAAAGGCCGGAGGAGGAAGGGTAAGGTGTGGGCATGTTTAACATCCCTCTCCCCATTCCTAATTAAGGCGTGACACTGACAGTCATAAACACACCTAGCACTGAAAAATTGTCAGCCTAGCCAATAAAAATGGCAATACACTGCCAGCTTCGTTACGTGTGGGGCGAACAGGAGAGCTTGGCACCAAAAAGTTTTGCAGTGAATTCCTTTAATTCAGTGTCCCATGTGAAATAGAAGAGGCTCCTAGGGTCAACGGAGCACTCCCAGTTAAAGCAGTGGAGGAGAACAGCTCTGAGTCTTGGGAAGGAAGACCTTTGGGAACTGTATTTCCAAGGCTTGCTCTGGTTCTGGACCTGGGGTAATGCCAGATTTCCCCAACCTTGGCTGCTGCATCAGCTTTCAGGGGCCTGAGGGCCACTCCTGCCTTTGGGAGATCACTTGAAGAAGAAAGTATGGGCTGTGCAAGGCTGCAGGTCCCCCAGGCCATGCTCCATTGTGGTCCCTGGCATCTGGCAGTGCTGCCTTGCTGCGATGTGTAGTCCCAGCAATCCCATGGACACATGAAGATGAGGGAGCCTTTCTGAGCCCTGCTGAGCCAACTCCAGACAACTTTGGTCTGAGGGAGCTCTTGTGATTCCCTATCTTCACTCCAAGAAAGTGCCACAGCTGCAACAAGCAGTGCCAGAATTGCCTGAGGGACATGTCTGGATATTCACCTACAGCAGAAAGCGTCTCAAGCTAGACTATAATTCCTTGCTGCAGCTGCGAGCCCAGGTGTTAGTATTGGCTGGAACATGACCTGTTCCCCCTCACTGACCAGGAAAATCATTACAATAAAATAACTCAATAATATTCTTCTCTGTCCTTCTCTAGAACTCTCCAAAATCTCACTGTCCTTTAAAACACCCATTAATCCATCCTGCCCGTGGGTTAGTATCACCATCAACTGCAGACATGGAGCTAGTTTGTGCATATGATAGGATCTACTGAGAGCAGAGGATATAGATCCTTAAAGGCTCGCGTAAACAGGCACAGTACTTTGAAAAGTGGAGGTCCCCAGCTCATACACCGGATAAGGTGGCAAGCAACTGAGAAAAAAGCTAAGAGCAGAAGCAGCAAGAGAAACCTTGGTGCCAGACTCCTGCTTCTGATCAACGGTGTTTCCTCTCCCAGAAAGAGTTCTGGTACAGATGAAGGAGAACCTTTGGGATTCTCTGTTCCAAGTGGTTTTCAGCTCTCTCTAAAAATTACCCTAAGGCATGGGATTAAATGTCTCCGAATGGCATCCTCTTCCCAGGACAGCATTCCAGAGACCTGTTGTGCTGCATTCCCATGGAGGAGGCAGTGGAGCCAGCTCCCGCATCGCAGGTTCTTCCATTTCCATTGAAATCCTATTGTTTCCTGTGCGCAGTGCGACTCGTCTCCTCACAGCCCACTGTGCAGCTGCATTCCTTCACCCCAAAGCTGTGCAAGTGACTGAGATACTGATTAGGAGTTACTACAACACACAGCTCTGCTTCCCTCTTTCCTACTGCAACGTGGGCTTGTGGAAGGCGCCAGATTGTGGAAGGTCCCCAGAGCAAAGGTGCCCAGCCCAACCAGGGGACAGTAGTGCTTCCCTCCTTCTGCCCTGAAAAGGTGTCTTACACCCTTTATAGACTGGATTTTTGTAGGAGCGAAACAGAGAGCTTCTACTGCTTCTACTGATGTCACCATGAAGGTGCTGACAAGAAACACGGGTTCCTGAGCAGCATGTTCACTGCCCCCGGGAGGGCTAATCCTTCCAGAGATCCAGCCTACCACAGAGACAACTCCTTTCAAAATGTGATGAAAGACTGGGAAAACACTGTCTCAGTTCAGAGTAAATTAAGCTACAGAAATCCCATAATATTTAAGACATTCAGAGGCCCTGCCAACCACATTCCTCACCAAGCTTTTGCAAAAACATTGCAAGTCTTGAGGCTAGTAAAGCCAAGGAGAGGGGTGAGTCTTCTCTCAGACCCTGCGCTGGGCACAGCTGTGCGTCTGTGCTGCACTGTGCACTTGGCTTCTTGATTGTCAGGGCTGTCTAACTGCACATTTGCACAACTTTATATGCCTGGGGGGGGATGTTTGCCTGTGTGCAGCTGCTTCCCGGCAGATGCTATGGATTTGTATGCATTTGCATATTAGAGGCTGTTTCCGTAGCTTTGCATGGGGATCTGGCCTGCTGTGTGTGTGGCGAGGGAGTGTGTTTGCTGAGCTGGGGCAGCTTTCTGCCGCATGGCGTATACTTCTCAGAACTGAAGTTGCCATCTTTGAAATCCCCTTCTCACGACCAAGATATGCAGGGCAGGAACAGGCATGGAAGCCTGGCCTGGAGAAGCTTGCACTTCCAGGCTTTGAGACTGTGAATCTTCATGGCAATTTAGGGCATATTCTCTGAGTCACTTCACCCTCTGTGGGCCCTTAGGAGCAGAGGAATAGCTATCGGACCGTATCACAGCCAAGCACCGTGCGAGCCAGGTGCTGCGTCCGGAGTGGGTTTGCACCGAACACGTGTGCTCTTGCCCAGGTAGGATTATTAGAGGCTGCCATTCCTCTAGGGCCCTTTTCATGCTGCC